CCCTCCACAGATCACTCACTCTCTCTGAGCTCACTCAGAGTCCTACGTAGGTCTTCACTAACACAGCCCCTTCCTTCTCTGGGCTCATCTGAACCCCTTACTAGGCCCCCACACTGCCTCACCCACTGGGTTCACTCAGACCCTTCAGATAGTCTCTCAAACACTCAGCCCTTCCTCTTAGGGTTCACTTTGCCACTCAATAGGCCAACAGACTCTCAGCCCCTCTCAAAGGGCTCACCTGGCCCCTCCAGAGGCCTCTGTACACCCAGCCCCTCTGTTACCTGGCCGCTCAAGAGACCCACATACTCTCAGCCCCCTTCTCAGGGCTCTGGACCCCACACTGGGTCCCCAGGAACCTCCTCCATCTCCTTAGTTCCTACCCAAGCCTCCAGACTGCTTCAGATGCTACTCTCCTTGCTGCTATTCAGGAGCTGCAGCCTTTCTGCTGGGCAATGTTCCTTCACCAGCTCTCAAGCTGTTCCTGCCAGCCCTACTCTCAGGGTCTGAGCTTATAATTTGCCTAAGCCCAGCCCTCCTCCCAGCAGGAGACTCCCTTGATCAGGCCTAGCCTCACCTGCTGGCTCCCTGGATCAGCTGACTCTACAATTAGGCCTGACCCCCACCTGCTGGTGGCTCTGCAGGCTGCCTGACCTCTTCAAGTGGCAGGCACTCTAAGTGCCCTGCCACAATTATTCCCCTCTATTCAGCACTGGTGAGGCCACATCTAGAGTACTGTGCCCCTGCTCACAGAAAGGACGTAGACAAACTGGAGAGAGTCTAGCGGAGGGCAATTAAATGGTTTGGGGGCTGGAGCAAATGACTTCTGAGGTGAGACTGAAGGAACTGGGTTTATTTAGTCTGGAGAAAAGAAGACTGAGAGGGAATTTAATAGCAGCCTTCAACTACCAAAAATGATGGAGCTAGACTGTTCTCAGTGGTGGCAGATGACAGGACAAGGAGCAATGGTCTCAAGTTGCAGCAAAGCTTAGGTTAGGTATTACGAAAAATAAATTCTGGACAAATTCAGAACTATTAAAAAAAGAACACACATTCTGATACAGTGGAGACAAAAATCATGAAAGAGGAGTAGGTTAACTCATACACAAGGACTCAGTCAAATCAATCTTAAAACTGCAAACTAATAACAGCCAAATAATTTCTATCCAGATTCCCATGACACCCAACAACATCACAATCATCCAAGTATATGCATGAATATCTGACTGAGCTGAAGAAGAAATTGAAAATTTCTATAACAAACTTGATGAAACAGTAGCAAAGCCACCAAAGAAAGATATTCTTATTGTCCAAGGTGACCGGCATGCCATCATTGGCACAAATGCACACAAGGAATGACCAGGGGACAACAGAAAAATATGGATTAGGGAACACCAATGATAGAGGACTGAGACTGCTGGAATTTGCTTAACTACACAGCCTTGTACTTGACAACACCCTCCATCCACATAAGATCAAAAAGAGTAACATAGCATTCACCAGGTGGTATCTACAATAAACAAATCAATTACATTTCATGTCCAAATGATTTCTGATCAAGCATCAATTCAAACAAGATTTGAACATTTCCAGGAGCTGATATTAGCAGCAACCATAACTTATTCATGATGTCAATCAAACTTAAACTCAAGAAGATTACTAGCAAAAAGGCACCAAGAGTTTGGTATAACCTAGAAAAAAACTAAAAGATCCATCAGTCAAAGCTGACTTTGAAGTAAAAATAGGGGGCAGGTTCGAACCACTTCTAATGCTAACTGACTTACAGAACATTACAGGTGACTTCACTCAAGCACTCAATGGAACTACAGAAGAAATACTTGGAAGAGCAAAGAAGAACCTACCATGGATGAATGACAAAAACACGGAAATTTGTGATGCATGCAGAGAACTATCAAGGCCAATCGGACTATGACAGCCTCCAACACAGATGCAAACAAAAAGTGAGAAATAAAATAAGGAAATCAAAAGAACTGCATCCTAGATAGATGTGAAGAGATTCAAAGAGGCTCCGAACACAACAGCAAGTAAGTTTTTGAAAACCTGAAAAATATAGCTGAAATGTATCAAGCAAGAGCAACTGCAATAGAGGACAAAAATGGTGACTTGCTTACTGAAAATGGTGCAATACACAAAAGATAAGCCAAGTATGTGAAAGAACTATATAATCACAGTATAAAAGCAGACACATAAGTAATAACTTAACTGGAGAAAAGAGGATCTGGAACTGCAGAAGATAAAACCTTAGACATCACAAGAGAAGAAGTAGAAGCTATCAGAAAAATGGAAAAGCAACTAGCATGGACCAATATACCTGCAGAAGTATTAAAAACATGGAATAACATGGACCAAGACAATTGACATACTGCACAAAATCTGCAGTAAGATATGGAAAAGGAAAACCTGGCCAACAGTGGACAAAATCAATAGTAATCCCTATCCCACAAAAGGGGAATCTACACTAATGTACCAACTACCACATCATCAGCCTCCTCAGTCATCCAAGTAAGGTGCTGCTTACATTAATATTAAACAGACTCAAGCTGCAAATAGAGAATGTATTAGCATAAGAACAAGCTGGAATTAAATCTGGAAGTACCACAGAAAAGATCTTCAATCTTAGAATCACATGCAAAAAGTACCATGACCACCAACAAGAACTCCATCATAATGTCATAGACTTTAAAAAAGCTTTTGACAGGGTGTGGCGACTTTGGCTGACAATGAAAAAGCATAACATCAGTCCCACATTGATAAGTCTTACAGAAGAACTGTACAACAATACAAGTAGTGGAGTCCTGCTTGACAACAACATTGCGGAGTGTTTTGCAACATTAGTAGGAGTACACCCAAGTTGCTTTCTCTCACCATGCTTATTTCATTTATACCTCAAATAAATCATGTCAGATTTCTTAGCGAACTACAGTGGAACAGTGTCAGTTGGAGAATGAGAAATTAACAACCTTCATTTTGCTGATGACATTGATCTAATAGCTGGAACTGCAAATTAGCTTAAGGAAATAACAGAAAGGCTGCATAAGACTACAAAGATATGGAATGGAAATTATTGTGAAAAGCAAAGTAATGATAACCTTAGCCGATAGCAATAATTATGCATCAGTAAAAATTGGTAATGAGAAGCTACAAAAAGGAACACAATTTAAATAGCTTGGAGCAACCATCATAGAAGTTGCTACGTCAAAAAATAAGTAAAAACAAGAATAGCCATAACCATGGACAACTAGCAAAGCTAAAGAAAATCTGGACTAGCAGCAACATCACAATGAAACTCCATCTACAATATGCTGTTGTCATTTCAACAACTCTCTATGGCTGTGAGATCCAGACACTCACTAGGGCCCTGGAAAAGTGAACTGAGACTTTTGAAATGTGGCACTTCAGAAGACTTCTATGCATACCCTACATTGCACACAGAACAAATGAATATGTGAAAGATCAAATCAGACAAGAAGTCAGTCAGCAAATATGAACCCTTACTTGAAGTCAACAGAAGCAGAAAGATGCAGTGGTTTCAACATGTAACAAGAAGGCCCGGCACCCTTGGAGGAAAGTTATCGCTACTTCAAAGATGCCCCAGCAATCGGTATGGCCTTGGGACTGACTGACTATGAAAAACCTCTCTCAGTAGGAGGGTAGTAAACCACTGGAACAGGTACCCAGTGAGGTTGTAGAAACTCCATCCTTGGGGGTTTAAGACCCAGCTAGACAAAGCCTTGGCTGCAATGATATAGTTGGGAATGGTCCTGCTTTGAGTAGGAGGTTGGACTAGATGACCTCCTGAGGTCTCTTCCAACATTAATTTTCTATGATCCTGTGATTCCTCCTCACTTGCCGCTCTCCTGCAGTATATTCAGAATTCACCCAGGCTGATGACCTCAAAACCCAGGTAGTCTGTCAGGTCTCACCTTATTTAGCATACAGCTGCTGTAAGATTATATATACAGGGAGGGGGAGCTTATTTGCATTGGGCTAGTTAACAGTAATGCTCTGGATCTACCCTAAATAGCAATACAGACACAGCCTCTAATTTAGGCTAGGGACAGAAGTTTCACACAAACTGGTTTAAGTGATCACAAACTGGTTTAAACCTGTAACAGAACAGAAGCTTAGTGCACATAAACCAGTTTCAAAATGGCTGAAACTGGTTTAAGATGCACCTGGTTGAACATAGTATCAGACTTAACTGATTTGGGTCAAACCAGCTTATAAAACCTGTCACAGAACCCTTCCTGGTTCAAGTAAAATCAGAGTCCCCCAGCATCCCAGCATGCTTTGCAGCCCTGGGCTGGGCTGTCTGTTCCAGAGAGCAGGGCTGGTCCCACACCTCTGGTCCCTAGCTGAAGCAGTGAGGACTGGCTGACAAGGGAGTGGCAGGGGGAGCAAGCCCGGCTGGTGATGCAGCCCAGTTGGGGGATGGGGAAACTGCCCCTGCCAGGCAAACCCTGGCTAGGGTCTGGGGCCAGTGAGGGGGGTTAAACAACCATTTCCCCACTGAAACTTACAGCTGGCTGTGACTATAGACTACAAATCCCAAAGGCACCTGGAAGCAAGAAGAAGAAGTGACAAGCAACCCTGCAGAGTCCTGCTGCTGTAATTCTGGACTGGAAATCGCAGAGACATCAGGGGCAACAGGAAGAGGAAGTGAACACACAACCAGAGAGCCGTGCTCTAGTGCCCCCCAAGCTTCTGGCCTGAGCCACTGTAGGCACGTGGCTGCATTTCCTGAATCAAAGGTTCTGTTCACTTCCGTTTCCATTTCATCTGTGCAGTTTAGACTAATCTACAAAGACTGAATCGTTTCAGCCTCAGGCTTTTTGACTGTTTGTACCTAGCCTTAATCTTTACTCAGCTGATTTCATTTAGATTTTTGCTTGAACAAGAACTAGCCCTGGTTTGTTTATATTCTTCCCTTCAACAAAGCTTTTTCAGACAGAAAATCATGAACATCCTGCTACTCTCTATACCTGTGACTCCTTTAGACCCAAGGTAATGGCAAGTTTCTTTCTGTCCATTTTGCTGATATACTTCTGTTTCTGAAACATTTTCTCCAAAGCTTTCCTCTGGTCCTCAGAAAAGACAGCCCTTCTTAAAATACCTCTTCGGGCTTTGGAGTTGGAATCCTGGGTCAAAAGAGGCAGAACACTTTCCTCTCCTAAAGAAAAAGGAAAATAGCATAACATGTGTAATGCAGGTAAGATAAACATTAAACACTATACTTTACAATACTATCAGCCTGGATTTTCACTTTTGACTTGTTATTGCTGTTAGGAATGTGTTACAATGATTCAGTCACATTCAGTAAGGAACACTAGAGTTAGAGATAGTGAAGAGTCTCATTTAAGAGTGGTAAAAACTAAATCCAGTGAGTCTATAAAAGGATATCAGCAGAGATTACAGTTTACTCCAAACTCAGTATGATCAGGGAGAAGCATCTATACTTTCCCTTTCACAATGCTATCAGCAGGCAAAGCTTTTCTCAGGTGTTTATGCTATTCCTATGGAAAATTCAGACTAAGATAAATAGTTTCAAAGGGGCTAAACAGACTTTAAATAGTGTGTGTGGGTGTTTTGTTTTTTTAATGAAAAGGCTTTCACAGTAAAGTTTTCCTTAGAAAAGCCCTGGCCATTCATTCATTATTTATTCTGGAAGCTGTAGCATTTTGTGTATTAAAAGCTTTTTGGAGTACTTGAATTTATTCCATTCAGCCTCATTTCTAATCCTTATCCCTAGGATGGCAGTTTACAATGGGCCCAATCACATCTTCTTGAGCTATGTCTGGAGGAGACCCTCTGTTTGGGGAACTCACTCTGGAAAGCAATGCAGGGAAGTGGGTGGGTTGATGGAGGGACATCCACATTTTCCCACCACTACTCCCAAGATAATCTGAGGAAAAATAAAAAACCCAGCCTTTCCTTAGCCAACCAAGAAGGGTTTTTAAAAAGAATTGAGAATGCGACACTGACTAGTTATGTCTTGATAGTCCCCCTCCAAGAGCACCAAGTTGCCAGGAAACAAGCTTGGGGAAAGTGACCAGAGGCCCACTAAGTATGGCCTAAAGCCAAATGTTATACATGATAACTGGGGAAGGACAAAAGAGACTCCACAGCCCATACCTAAGGGAGAGTTCCTTCTTGGATTCAGAAGGACTAGCTATGTCCATGTAGCCCAAGACACCTGTGGGTTTTATGCAAGCCAGAACTGAATCACGTACAATTTAGACTCTAAAAGGCGTATTTCCATCCTCTTATGAAGTCCCTTAATGTACATTTCTCTCTAATAAGCTTCAGAATTACTATGTTCTTAACATATCGTTTTTATAAAAACATAGCATGTTTTTGTGTGTTTTTATCCACAGCCTTTAATTTCTAAGATTCTCACACTGAAGTGACTAGCAAAATGCTTATGTAAAGTAGTTTAAATAATTCAAATTTCAAAAATTTTAAACTAAACTAAAATTAACCACACATTTCATGAAGAATGTGTCCCTTATTCATAGAAACATTTTGAATTAAAAAAAAATGTTTCTCCTTTGCAGAAAACATATCCTATTGTAAAGCTAGCTAGATCTAGCTGCAGTTTTTGTTATAATTACCTGGAGCTGTATCAAATTTTAATTTTTATATGTTAAATAAAATGTGTGTATGAGTATTTATGCCACTGTGTGTGTATATAAACATGTATACACACAGAATGGTATAGATACTCATACACACATTTTATTGCGTATGTGTATTAGTCTATTTATACAGATTTATACATGCACTCACATCTCCATGTGTGGATTATACAGAAAATTATACGTAGTCACAAAATGTCCCCAGTGTGTGTGTGTGTCACAATTTATTAGATACTTTTGTAGCACATGCCTGAGTGGTTTAAAATATCTAATTTTTACATTAATATGTTAGCACATATAAAAATAAAATTTTGGTAAAGCCACATTTCAGTTTCAAAACTGGTATATTAAAACCACACACAACTATCACAGTACATTAGATATTTTCATGGCACTTTTGTATGTTATGAGATACAAGACTCTAATCAAACAAAAATATTTGAATTTGGCAGGCAAGTCTCAGAAAGTCATGTTTGAAACAGGTGCATAACTAGGGAGGCAATCACCCCAGGCATGAAAAAAAAAGAAGCTCCTGCCAGCAGCCACATGTTCACGATCATGGGGGCAAACGGAACTCGCCGGTTCCACTTAGCCCCAGGTGCACAACTGTGTCCCTATGCTGCTGTGCTTAAGCTTGTGCAAAAAGTCAACCTCTTCAGGGAAAATTTCAGCTCAGTGCATAAAATTGTCTAAAGAGCCCATTCTGATCCAGGGAGTTTCTTGAGGCCAGAAACTACTATTTTGAATTAAGATTTCTACACCTCTTTCATGCTGAAGTTATCATAGGCCACAAGGAGATGCATTTTAGATCTGCAGTAACATCATTCGTAACTCCAGTAGGACGGATAGGGAAAAAGTCTAGGCTGCAATTTAATTTTAAGAATAGTTTGGGAGGTGGTTCCTCCTCAGTCATTGCTGCTCCTAAATTTACTGAAAGATAAAGTTTATCAGTAAAAATCGGTTGTGCAGATATCTCCTCTCATCCTCCCAGTTGCCACTGGAGAGGAAGAAGATACTTGAGGACAGCAAGGCTGCCCCTCGTCTCCCCTACTGAACTCTGAAACAGAGTTGTAAGCCACAGACTGCCAGACTATGTGAACACATGATTTTTATTTTTCTCTCTAGCTCAGTGTTTCTCAACCCATGGGTCACAATCCAAAAGTGGGTCACAAAAATATTTGAAAGAGTTGCAAACAATCACAGAAAAACTAGCCCCCCAAGACCGAGATGACTGTCAGAGGCTCCGCAATCACGAGCAGTGGGACGTGTGTGGGGAGCAGCCAGGATGTAGGAGCGGTGGGACGCACATGGCTGGGCTGATCCGCTCCCCCTGCCACCAGGGCCAGGCCGGGTGAGTGCAGCAATCCCCCTTCACGCTCCCTGCCACCAGGTGAGTGGGGCCCCGGCTGGACCGGGTCAGAGGAGGGGAGTTGGAATCCGGGCAGCTTGTCCAGGCATGCGGGGCGGCTCAGGCTGCTGCACACAGCCCAGCAGAGGCCCGAGGGGCACATGCCTCCCCTGATCTGTGAGCAGGGCAAGGCACCTGCTGCTGCTGCGTGCTGGGCTTTGCATCCCTAGCCCCACTCACCCCTGCCCCACTCCCTCTCTCACCATGGGGGCTTCAATCTCCCCCCCCGCCCCAGACTGACCTGCTGGGTGGCGGGCAGTAGATCCTGAGTTGCTATTTACTTCAAAAAGTGATCTTCATCTTAAAAAGTTTGGAGACCACTTCTCTACCTTCTTTCCTATTATGAACATTATGGTGATGGATGTAATGTAACTAAACAAAAACTAACAATGAACTCTAAATAAACACCAGTAAATGACAGAGCCAGGCACCACATCAAATTCTGAATGAAATGATTAGTCATGATCTATCATACTGAGTGTGTTTGCACTTACTAACTTTTGTCCTAATCAATAATATGCATTTACATACTGATCACCTCTAATAAATCCATATAATAGGGCTTTTTCTCTGTTTATGCTATATTGTGAACCAAACTCTCAGCATGCATTTTATTTCTGCTAAGCTACCACCAGAATCAGACATTCCTTGGTGCAAGAAGTAGGAGTATACCAGAAATGCAGGATTAGCTAGATGATCCTACTGATGCCCCAGCAAGCATGTACTCCGCACCAGGGCCTGGATGGTTTATGTTGCTGAGTGTCTGGAATGCACTGTTCAAAACAAAATAAGAATCCAGCAGAAACTGGTTTGTAAGATACTAATAAAATGTATGGAATATTTTAAGTGAGTGGCTTATAAAGACTGGAGCTTTAGATAGGTGTTCTGAGCTCAGTCTGTTGAAATGCCACATTGCAACTACAGACTGAGAACTGCTAACGTATAATTTACATCAGTGATTCATTATAGCGAACATAACTAATAAACTATTGAGTGTGATCAATTTGGTTTCAATTTCCTTCAATTAACAGTAAACAGGAGTGATGAACATTCAAAGTGGAGGATGGTCTAGGAATTCTGTGTTAACTTATGCACATAAAAGCCAAATTCACACTTTATAAGCCAAATGGATATCCTCATCAAGCAAGTGAAAAATCAAAAAGTATACACCGTCTATTTTTCTGGTATATCAGGCAGGACTTTGTACACACATTACAACAGTTATATCAAAATGAATTAAGTGAAACAAGTTGGCTGTCTGTCGTGCTGAACACACAGAAAGGTTTAATACAATGTGGACATAAACACTAATATGGTACCAAATGTTTGGCAGGTTGATTTTTTTTTTAAGTCTCTCTTTCGTATCCTAATATATGGTGATAAATGTCATCTTAATCCGTGGAACAATCTGCATTTGCCTTCATGGCAGAGACCACCTTGAAGGAGCGAGTAAAAGCTTTAGTCATGGTTTCCATTTTTTCATTTGAATTCAATACAGTCTAGTTAAATGGACAATTAATAGGTCACTTCCAAAATAGTAGTGTATCAGTCCTGGTTAAAAAACAATCCCCACAGTTGATAATGGGCCCTGTGTATTCAGCAAGTCCCTGTATACACTCAGCTCATCCACTAAATCCCTTTTCAGGTAGACAGGGTTATATGGGAAGATGAGCTAGAATGAGTCTATAAAAGTCAGTTTCATTCACTGCCTTATTTTTCAGTCAAGTGCTTTAAATGGTGTCCAGAAATTCTCTTGGAATGTGAGACAGGAGAAAAGACTGGCACATAGAGCATTGCTTTATGACCATACAAAAGGGCAACTGACCCTTGCCCAGGCTTTTTCAATGTGAAATGGTTCCTAAAGTTCATCTGCACAGTGAAAAATTGTGGTGGGGTCGCGTGTGGATGAGTAAAGTGAAAGTGGTGATTGGTCATGGTGCTGTCAACCATTGTGATGTAGTCCTGGCCATGTAAAATGCTCTGTGGGAAAGTGTCAGCCCCCTAAAGAGGTGTTCAGAAACTTGCAGCTCATTAAACTGCCAGCATTTGCTGCCTCACTTGTCAAGAATCATTCGACTTAGCAACTGCCCTCCTGAAACATTCATAAAACATATGCACATCTTCAGCCATGGTTTGAATTCAACTGTTATAAAAGCATATGCTTCAGAATGTATAAACACCAGTTTCCATTTGGACTCAATACACCATTCTGGGCTCTTTGCTCACTTCTGAGGAGCTAAGAAATGTGTCTCATTTTTATATCCTTAGTCATAAGTATCTAAACTCTTTATTAAAAAAATGTACAATATGACATGCAAGTCTGAAGATCCAGGTTAAATTTAAGTTAGCTTTATGTGAAAATCTATTCCAGATCTTTAATCCTTAATATATAACCTTGAACATATAATCATTTAAAATATTTATTCCAAGTTCAACGTATAACTTTAAAAATATCAAATTAAATATGTGTAGGCATTTGTCTGCTATGAACAAAATAAGCAATTAAATCATGTTAATAAGCAAGATGCATGCATCATAATTTATGCCAAGCAAACATTAATATTCAATATCCATTTTATAATCTTTGAGTTCTTTGCTTTCCCT